AGTTACGTAATGGCTATGTCGCTGGACTCCCACATAGTCGACCGCGGTTCGCGTCCTGGACCCGGTGGCTTAAAACTCACACCGGGCGCCTGTGCGTGCGTGCCAAGATCCCGAGAGGAGAATGGAGGAGAAGGCATTGTGGCGTGGCCATCCCCCCTGGGGGGTGATTTCTCGCTTTCTGTCTGTCTCTGTCTGGTGAGCGCACGCGCCCTACAGCGAAAACCTCTCCAAAAAAAAAAAGAAAAGAAAAGAAAAGAAAAGAAAAGAAAAGAAAAAAAGGTGCAGCAATTAAGTGCTATGTACAGGGAGCTGGATCCCACATGGTGGACTGCAGTTCAAGTCCCAGTATGGGCAAATTGAAAAACACATGCACAGATGTGTATACCTCAAACCTGGAAGGATGGAAAAATAGAGAAAAACAGCCTGCAATATGACCACACCCTATTGGGGGTGCTTTCTGTCTCTCTCTCTGGAGAGTGCATACACACTCTGGCAATTACATAATTTGACAGGCAAGGTGCCAGCAGGTGGCATGGAGGTTAAAGGCAATGAATTCCCACATGGCTAACCATGATTTGAGTCCTGAACCTGGCGGCTTGCTTTCTCGCTTTCCCTTTCTCTCTCTCTCTCTCTGTTTCTCTCTGATCAAATTTAAAAAATAATAACAAATGGAATTGAATAAATAAATCAATAATTCTTTAAAAAAAATCTTGACAGGCAATTTAAAGGTCTTTAAGGACAATTTCAGTCAAACACAATTTTTGTTTCATGCATTCACTTTAGACCCCAAAACCCATGTAACAAGCACCTATTGATATTCCTTTTTTAAAATAATTATTTTATTTCATTTATTATTATAATTATTTGTTTAATTTAACCAGAGAGAGACGGAGAGAAAGAAAGGAAAAATCGGAAAGCAAGCCCCCAGATTCAGGACTCAAACCACAGTCGGCCACATGGGAGTCCGGCGTCTTAACCACCCTATCACCTGCCCTGTCTCTCCCAGGACAGCCAGTGAAATACTGCTGCACCTAGTCTATCTTGTGTTATCAGCACCCTTTTACTGGCCATGTGGAAAAACTGGAACCACTAATAAAAAGCAAAAATTCTGAAATAGTCTAAACTTGCTTAAACATAAGTATCATGTGTTTTAGGTTCCTGAATGGCAGGAACTAAGCCTTGTTTATGTGTGCACACACATGTGTTTTAGGTTTCTGTCATAGGGCAAGTGCACTCAGAGAGAGACAGAGAGACACTAAGCCTTGTTTACGTGTGCACACGCATGTGTTTTAGGTTTCTGCCATGGGGTAAGTGCACTCACCAGAGAGAGACAGAGAGACAGTAAGAGGGAAATTCCTTCTTCTCCATTCTCCTCTTGGGATTTTGGGTGTGTGCACATATCCAGCATAATTCTCAAGCCACTGGGTCCAGGACTCTGGATCAGAGGGCTAGTGTCCAGTAGTATCTGATAGGAAGTATTTTCCCAGTGGGAAGTTCATTAACCCCAGACAGACACCACAAAATACCTCACAAAAGGTTTAATTATCTCTCTAGACAGGAACCATTAGAGAGGTAAGTGGCACTGTTACTTTAATGGCATGGTAAATGTCTTACCCAAATCATCTAAATTTGCAATGCATTTGCATATGATTATAATCCTGTTTTAGAGGTAAGAAAAACAAAAGGCCAGAGAGGGTAAGTGACTTGTCATATAGAAAACAGTAAAGCCGGGATCAGCAGATGACATAATGGTTATGTCACTGGACTCCCACATAGTCAACCACAGTTCGAGTCCTGGACCCGATGGCTTAAAACTCATGCTGGGCACGTGTGAGTGCGTCCCCAAAATCCCAAGAGAAGGGCTTGCAGTATGGCCATCCCCCATAGAGGGGTGATTTCTCGCTTTGTGTGTGTGTGTGTGTCTCTGTCTCTGGTGAGTACACATGCCCTATAGCAAAAATCTCACTTTAAAAAAATAAATAAATATAT